AACAACAACAACAAGGGTTACCATGGGCTCCAGTTCAATGGTTAGTGTCCTTATAAAGTGAGGGACATTTGGACACAGATGAGAGAAGGCGGCCACATGAAGACACACAGATGGACACAGGGGAGAACGTCATACAACACAAAGGCAGAGACTGAAGCGATGTCTCCATAAGCCAAGCAATGCCAAGGGTTGAAGGCAACCACTAGAAGCTGAAAAAACAAGGAAGGAACCTCCTCTCGGGCATTCAGAAGGAACATAACCTGCCAATAGTTTCATTTGGGGCTTCTGGCTTCCAGAACTTGTTAGATGCCATAGAGTCAGCAGTGACTTATAGCGACCCTACACACAACAGCACAAAACACTGGCCGGTACTGTGCCAACCTCACAGTCATTGCTGCGTTTGAGCCCATGGCTGCGGCCACTGTGCCAGTCTATCTAGTTGGGGACCTCCCTGTTTTTCTCCGACCCTCCACTTTACCAAACATGACATCCTTCTCCAGGGACTCTTCTATCTGAAGTATGAGAGACTAAGCCTGGCTGTCCTGGCTTCCATGGAGCATTCTGGCTGTACTTTATCCAACACAGATTGGTTTGTTCTTTTGGCAGTCCATGGTACCTTTAATATTCTCCTCCAACACCATAACTCAAATGCATCAATTCTTCTATGGTCTTCCTTAATCCCTGTGCAACTTTCACATGCATATGAGGTGACTGAAAATGCAGTGGCTTGTGTGAGGTGCACCTTCGTTCTCAAACTGACACCCCAAACTAGGAGAATAAATTTCTCCTAGTTTTTGTTTTAAGCCACCCAGTTCATAATACTTCATTATGGCAGTATAGAGACAGAGAGAGCAGATGTGTAACCTTGGGCAAGTTCCCATCTCTCTGAGATTCAATGTCCTCCTTATAAAACGGGGATAACTGTCCCCACTTCTCAGGGCTGCTGGACTGGTTACAGAACATCAGGTATATGATGTCCTTACCAGGCTGTTTTGGCACATGCTAAGAGCTCCCCAAGTATCAGCTGTTACTGGTATAGATCAGTGAGAGCTAAACATCTTGCCCAGGCATTCAAAGACCCCCACCCTCACCCCAAGTATTATGTGATTTACCAGTCTCCTCCTCCAGGCCCACCTCCAGCTCAGGATAACACCTTGCTGGGCTCCTCCCCTCCCTCCTAACAAGGCTCCTTCTCAGCTCTTACCCAATCCTTCCCTCAGATCCCAGTTAGGGATGGTTAACACCCACTCTGCCCCTCTCCCTGCCGTCCACCCCTCCCCTCCCCCAGCCCCCACTTCTATGAAGCTTTCTTAAGTTTCTCCAGCTCTCTCTGGTCTCCAAGAGCCTGAGGCAGATCCCCACTTTGCAGCACACATATTTAACTGCTTGAGTCTTAGTTCCTAGAGAGTCCAGGACTGATGATTGGTGGGTAAGAGACCCAAGCATCCATCAGACCTTAGGGCATGCAGGTTAAAGCCCACCCACAGTCCCACTCCAGGAAGTCAGGAGCCTGAACTCAGAGCACAAAGAGGTCCATGGGTGGAGCCTGCAGAGTGGAGGAGGGAGCTCCAGAGAGCATTCTCCTAGAGCAGGGGGCTGGAGCCAAGAAGCCCATAGGGGGATTGGCTGAAATCAGATAGTCGCCACAGCCTGGGGTGGGCCCAGGGGTCTTGGGGAAGAGAGAAGAGAGGTGTCCTCCCCCAGGGGAAGTCACAGGCAGGCGTGGAGAGGAGTTCACCATCTGACCCAGGTCTGGAAAGAAGGGTTGCTGTTCATGCTAGAGAAAGGGCTCCCCCAACTCCTGCCTGGGATGGCTCGGCCCAGGTGTGGAGGGGCGGAGCCACCAGCTTTGTCAGTTCTGAGGCCCTCTGGCCAACAGGGCTGCTGGGGACAGGAAGGGTGTCATATTTCATGGGTGGAATGTGCCAGAGTAGGGATTCCCAAAAGAGCTCCTGAAGTCAGGATGGTGGGGTGGGGGATGGAGTGTCTCCAGGGTCCGTTCTCAAGTTCCTGCTTCCAAATCATAGGCGCAATAATGGCTTGATTGAGAATTTTCTCTATGCCACACACTGTTATTCTAAGCACTTTATATATGCTAACTCCGCACTGAAGAAAAGTAAAACAAGTCCACAAGTGACAAAGTACCACTGGAAGTATGCTGTCTGTTGTTAAGTGCCATCGAGTCTGTTTCAACTCAGAGTGTGAGAAATTCTCAAGATAGGCCATCTTCAGGAATAAAGGGCCCACAGGAGATTGCTAAACCAGACACAGGTTGTTGATTCACACCCAGGGATTTGTTATTGTTGTTGTTAAGTGCCACTGAGTTGATTCTGACCCACAGCAACCTTATGTAGGGATTCCAAGGAGCAAGCTGGTGAGCTTGAACCACTGACCTTGACCTTGCAGTTCAAAAGGCTTTGTAAGCAGGATGAATTACGGAAGGGGGGAGGGAATCTGTACTAGGACTAAGAACCTTAAATAAGACTAGTCATTAAAACCATGGGCGCCATTGGGCTAGATGGTAGAACTGGTGGTGTTGGTGGTTATGTGTCGTGGAATCGGTTCCGACTCATAGCAAGTCTGTACAGGGTTTCCAAGGTCGTAAATCTTTACGGGAGCAGAAAGCCTCATCTTTCTCCAGCGGAACAGCTGGTAGTTTTGAACTGCTGACCTTAAGGTTCGCAGCCCGATTCGTACCACTACACTACCTTGGCTTTTTCGAGACAAGGGAATAAAACTGTTTGCAGGCTGGCCATGCAGTGTGTCTGCTTGTATCTACTGGGTTGGGTGACCGATTTTGCAAAATCGAATAAAGAAAACCTCACTCTTGCTAAAATGAGTACAGATTGGATTTCTTGAGTGAATTGTTGGTATTGACTATGTTTCTTACAATAGTGACCCAGTATAGGGTTTCCAAGGAGTGGCTGTGAGTTTGAGCCACTGACCTTGTGGTTCAAACTGACCTTGCAGTCCAGTGTTTTATCCCACAGCGCCACACCAGGACTCCTTGAGTATATCCCACCTGAATTTAAAGACCACCCTAACAAAAGAATCGTTTCATTGAACATTCACGGCCAAAGACCAGAGAATTACGGGATGACATCAAGGCCATCATACATGAAGAAACCAAAAGTCATTAAAAACGTAAAAAAGACCAAAATGGATGTAAGAGGAGACTCTGAAACTTGCTCTGCAATATAGAATT